GCTCGTTCATCGAAAAAGTGCAAATTTGAAGGAATTCGGAAGAGGACGACGAAATTTGCAAAATGCACTCGCTTTTGAGTTCGTTATAAAACTGAGTATTTGTCATGTCCGCATGCAGGGAATTTCACCTCTAAGCTGAATAAAGACCATACGTGAATATAGAATATCGTTGCAGAGTTCCAGCTCTGCAGCTCGTCCGGTGAGCAAAATAGCCCCTTCGCTACAAATATCTTTGAAGTGTCCAAAGTTGTAAAGTAAGTATAAAGGAAAACTTAAATTAGGTGTACGATTTTCCAGATGGGCGAAAAATATTCTGACAAAATTTCAGCTACTGTTTTTCGACTAGTTTTCGAGTTGACACAGTGCTAACTGCAAACTGTGACGTGACCGTACGCGTGGTATAAGCCCATGCGACAGCTGAATTTGAAATCTTTAGCTCATACATGGAAAGCGAATATCCCTTCATAATTTTAGCTTTCTATCTTGTCTGGTTCACGAAATCATTCCCCGCCAAAGAAATTTACATATTTTTTTAGAAGGTCCGTACGCGAAATCTAGAAGCGTATGGGCAAAGATCTTAAAAAGGGGAATGACACATCAGGTAGGAATATTTCAGCTTCCCAGCTTCCTTGGCTGCTGAGCTGAAAGTGGGTGACAAAGTTCACTCGCTTCCGAACACACAAATGCACGGACGATCTCTTAACAATATGCGTTTTTTGTACATTTTTGTTGTGCCAGCCAGCGAAAACACATACTGTCGAGAGGTTGTCTGTGTGTGTGTGCGTGAGTGTGCGTGTGTTCGGAAGCGAGTGAACTTTGTTGTCCACTTTCACCTTAGCAACCAGGAAAAGCTGAAATTTCGGGCATATATTCCCACCCCGTGCGCCAAACTCCCGTTTTAAAGTTTTCATTCATACGCACCTAGACCTAGCGTATGGATTTCCGAAAAAAATATGCAGATTTCTTTGACGGGCAACGTTTTCGTGAGCCAGGCAAGATACAAAGCCGATG